TATAAAATAGGAGACAGAACATAGACAAACTTTGGATTTTCTATCCTATTTCATATATTTTTGTCATGGAAAACACAAAAACAGACTTAAAAATATATGAATCTTTTACTTTCAACTCATTCTGAAAAAATTGGAGAAAGATTTACCTTAGATTTATTTTCATAAAAGGCTATAGGAATCTGTTGCTTTTGAGCCATCGGAGAGGATTTTCCTTAAATTTATTTTTACAAAAGTCTATATGAATCTGTTGCTTTTGAGCCATTCTGGAGAAGAGAGAGAATGTATAAATTTCAATAAGAACAAGAAATTTGTAAAGAAAAGATACAGAATAAACATTAACAGCTTTTTTACAAAGTCTCATAATTTCATCCTTTTCATTCATCCCGAGAAATGCCAGCTCAGCAGAAAGAGTTAAAAGTGTTATTATTTAAACACATACACACACATTTCTTTCTTTTATTTTTGATCTGGTGAATCCTAGTAAGGGTGAAATGCGTTATCTTCTTTCAAGGAAATGCTTTTCCATTTGTCATGTCCTTCACATTTTTAATTATGTATGATGATGGTTTAAATGGCTTATTTCATGGAATTTATATTGAGAGAAGGAAATTATTGACCCTCCCACACAAAAAAAAAAAAATACAACACTTTCCCTTACTATATATGATGATTATGATGAGTCAATGACACACATTTTATTATTAATTTGACTTGGCTACTCTTTACCAAGGCCAAGAGTCAAGGAAGTAGACAATAAAATCATTAACTAAATGAAATAAGGCTAATTGGTTAAAATAATGATGTAATATTTACATTTTTTTTTTTTTTTTTTTACATGTGAGCTATTATCCTCATTTTTCTTGTTGTTATCACATTTTGGCCATTGTGCCATCCAGCCTTCATTAGGCGTGATTGTCAATGCAGGTAACTTTCAGGGAATTTTGAACTGAAGGCTATCCAAGTTAACAATCACCTGATGAACACCAAAGGGCAGGACCTCAGGTGTCATTGAACAATTTAATTACTAGAATTGAACTATTGTTTCTACTTTATCTCCTGTTAATTATAATTAGGTTGAATATAATTGCTTATTGAATGTGAATCTAACAATAATAGGTAAGTTTATTTTATTTAAATTATTATGGCAGTAAATGCTGGATAATCACAGCACAGATAAAGAAGAGTCTTGAAGCAACAGCAGAAATGTGGTTTTTGTTGTGAGCAACAGTAACGCTTTAGAGAAAATGGAAATGAAAAGGATACTTATACTTAACATCAGAAGGAGAGAGTTGAAATTTCTAGGGCATATAATGAGGAAAGTGGGCTTGGAAAATTTGATACTCACAAGAGAGAGAGAGTAAAACAATGCATAACCTACCTAGCAAGCTTCAGCAAATGGATAGCAGAACAGGGTCGAGAAGAGATAACACAAAGACAAAATTTAGTAAGAACTACAAAGGACAGGAAATTGTGGAGAGCCATGATTACCAACAACCTGAAGGGATATGATACAGAAGAAGTTGTTATTCTTCGGTTTTCTTTGATCCAATTGTCAACACTGTAATTATTAGCACTGTTTATTAATTCCATTGACTCAACTATTAGCACGAAAGTTGTCTTCCTGCAGGATTGTGTTCCCTGTAAACAACATTCAAGCTTCTAATTCTATATACTAGAATTTTTTGCAACACATTTATGCCTGTTGAAATCCTTATAGTATTTAGTATTGTTGAAATTATAGCCAATATTTTTTGTTGAGATTTATAAACTCTACATTTCATTCAATTTTGCAAATTAAAATTTGAATAAATCCTACTTAATACAGTTTCATAATTTCTTTAAAAATTTATTTTTTATACAAATGTATACTTATATATCAAAAGTAATAAATCTTAATTTATTATTGACTATTAAAAGGAAAAATTTTTTTTTTTAAAAAATATTTTTACCATGTTTCATGGTAAAAACAATATTTTTAAGACAATTTTTTTCCCTTTTAACAGTGAAGAATAAATTGTTATATTTCTTATATCTTGAGTTTAAAACAAATTTCAATTATTATATATATGATAAATATTTATTTTGGAGCCAAAGGATATTTATTTTTGAAATATTGGCCTTCTGATTTGTTTATAGTTCTATAAAAAATTATATATGAATTAAAAACTATATTTTATATATATATATATATATATATATATATATTTAAAATATAAAAAATAGGAAGGAACTGGTTAGGTAAATATCAAAAAGTTGTTTTAGTATTTTAGTTATTATTTAAAAAAAATAGTGCTCGATACAAAGTAGAGCATAAATATAATTATTTATTTAAAATATGATTCCAAATCGCTACATAAGAGGTCTCATGTTTCAAAACAAGAGCCGAAAACTTCAATATAATCCTTTAAATTAAATTGAGTTGAAATTAAAAGGGCTCCGTTCCATCTTCAAGCGAAATTTTTGTTGGAATAACGTATATCTGAAATTTACTTGTTTTAAAAATTGAAATCAAAATCACCATGGTAACAGCTAGGACGAATTGTCTAAAATGGGTAGGCGAGTGTAGGGTGTTAATGATAAGTAGCGGTATAGAGATACTTTCAAGGTGTCAAGTCGGGGGAAGGTGGGGTGTCAAAAATGAAACGAAGATGTATTAAGCTTTCGTCAAGTTGGCTTGTCTATGGAGATTTATTTATTTATTTTATTTTTTTTTATTATGAAAGGGAATTGTGCATATAAAAAAAAAAAAAACTTTCGTAACGTTTGTTTTTGACGACTTCATAAAGGGTTATCTTTTATGTAAGGTATTTAAACTACTAATTTGGGCTATGGATTATGAAGGGTGTTATGTTGTATGCAAGTTTGTAGTTAATAATTTCTACTATGAATCTGATGATTGGGTTATTTGTTAAACAAGTTATATAATTTTTTTTTTTTTTTTTTTTTTTTTTATTTCAAACCAAAAATCTGATGATGCCTACAAAAAACCGTTAACTCGTGTCTATTATTTAATAGATTATTATTATTTAGAAGTTTAATAATGTGCAATTTTTCATGGAGGCACAAAGGGCATGGGTCATCCCAAGCTTTACATATTCTAGCCTTGTCAATAATTTTCCATTTAACTTTTGGTGTCTTATTTGTTTCCTTCAATTGCCAAAAATATTTTGATAGTGAAGTCTGGTTTCTTTTGTTTATATTATTAAAGGAGCACTTATGCTGCCTCCATCTATCTTTAAAATTATTCTTCGTGGACCCAATGTATATCATATTAGTGCTAGGGCTCTCTGTGGATGAAATAGTACATTGGTATACCACTGAATTAATACAACATTTATTTTCTAATGGGCAGTCTTCTGGGTTTCTACAGTTACATAATTTTTCCCTATTATCATCTGATTTTAGTGTAGAGTTTTTATTAATACTGTTTTGGCATGGGGGTTTGTTCAAGATCTTATTCTTATTATTGTGTTTTTTTATTATGCGTTCAAGATTATCAGAGCAGCTGTAGCTCAATTTTAGGGTGTTCTTATTGAATATATTACTAAGCTTACTATTGGTGGGGAAGTGTTTATTAATTAGAGCTAAGAATTTCTGTCCTAGTTTAATACTAACCCTTTGGTTGAACGGAGGGGTGTACCATATGATATTTCTTTTCCTGTTTTTTTTCCCATGTCCAGTGCAATTTTCTTTGTAGTTAATGTTAGCATTTTTATAACCACTATTTTTTTTTTAGGGCAGTGTTATAGAAGCTATTATGTTTTTGGAATATTTCCCTGTTTGCGGAGTTAAGGCTAATTCTATTTTCTATTGATGAGGGTATATGTTTAATTATTGATGGAGGATGGTTTGACTTCGGGTGTATGTATAAAAAGGGTTAGCATTTGGTTTTCTATAAGGTTGGTATGTATTGTCTGGTAAGTCTAGAATTACGTCGAGGAAGTTAACCCTTTTCAAATTAGAAGAGACAGTTATCTTTAAGTTTAGTTTCTTAAATTCACTAAATATAATTTTTCTGATTTTTTTCAATCTTAAAACTAGTAGAACTCTTCACCACCATGAGCCCGTCATCTCTATACAGCCCGATGTCCTTAATATCAATTTATGGTGTGCCGTTAAATTGTACAGTATTAGGAGACCAACAAGGTCAGAGGACTCTGCAGAGTCTAACGATCCCATAGTGATGTCAAACAGGTCGTTATTGTTTTTTATCCATTGGTCCCCATTGTGAACGAGGATGTTTTTCTTTTTTTTAAAATCCCTTTTGAAATTGATGGGTAGTAATAAACTACCCATCAATTTCGAAGGATTTATTTATGACTGCCCTGGACTTCGCTGCTGTGTATTCGAACCTAACAAAGGATGAAATGGATATAATCCTCAGCGCAAAGAAATCGGTCCTCGTTCTCGTATATCTGAAATTTACGTGTTTACGTTGATTTCAATTTTTAAAACACGTACATTTCAGAAACACATTATTCCCAAAAAAATTTCGCTTGAAGATGGAACAGAGCTTATTTTAGCTCAATTTAATTTAAATAATTATATTGAAGTTTTTGGCTCTTGTTTTGAAACATGAGACTTCTTATGTCGCGATTTGGAATCATATTTTTAAATAAATAATTATATTTATGCTCTACTTTTGTATCGAGCACTATTTTTTAAAAATAATAACTAAAATACTAAGGGACTTTGGATTATTTACCTAACCAGTTCCTTCCTATTTTCTATAAATTTTATATATATATATATATATATATATATATATATATATATATATATATATATATATATATATATATATTTATTTATATATAATTTTTTTAAAAAAAGATATGCAAAAACAATATTGCATTTTTTATAAAAATAAATATAATCTCATTCTGTTTTAATATGACCTGAAATATACATAAATCTTTTACCTATATTTTCCAAGAGGTTTGTTTTTTAATAATTTGTTTTTACTACTTTTAATATACTTTTTTTTTCTTTCCTGCTAGAAGGGTAATTTAACATTTGAGGCTTCAGATGGGAATATTTTCTTTACCAAGAGAGCATTTCGTCCAGCCAAGATAGAGACAAAAGTGGATATAAACATGTCAAATGCTACTCTTGTGGCCTACAAGATATGTGTCTGCACTCTTACTGGCAAGATATTTGCCGTGCCAACCACTTCAAACTGCCTCTCCCCAGCAGATGCCTGTAATGAATGACAAATGCCTGTGTGGCTCAACTTGAAAATACACTTGTTGCTTTTTTTGTTTGTTTCTGATTTTTTTCTTTTACTGCCTTTTCTTTTCTGAAGTTTAATTTTCATTAAATTGGAATTTGTTTTGCAAACAAATTGGATAATAAATAAATTAGGTCATTAGTATTCAAACTTGACTATTAAATTTTTATTTTCTAATATTGAAACATTACATTTTGTAATAAAATGACTATAAATTATTAACTAGATATGATCAGTTTGTGCTAACATCGTTTTTTGATAATTACTAAATACATTGAATATACAAGGTCTGTGTGAAAAGTAAGAGGAATGGAGGTCATAAAATTTATTTCAATTCCAAACAACAAACTACATGGTTTCCCCTTTAAAGTAATCCCTCTCGAGTATAATGCATTTTTCCATCCTTCTCTGCCATGCTTCTATGCGTTGTTGGAAGGATTCTTCTTGGATGCCCCTAAGTTCCATTGTTACGGCCCTCTTGATGGCCTTCATGTCTTCAAGACGTGTTCCTTTCATGATCCCCTTGAGCCTGGGGTAAAAGAAAAAGTCACATAGAGCAAGATCAGGTGAATAGGAAGATTTTTCCAGTACAACTTTTTTCTTGGCCTAGAACTGCCAGATGCTCAGGACATTGTGAGCAGGTACATTGCCATGATGAAGCAACCATAATTTGTCGTCACAAAAGTGTGTGAAAAAAACCCCCAAAAAAATGCCCATGGTTGTAGAAAGTTAAGATTACGGTTATATACTCCGAAGATATCATATATGATAACGCATTCTGCTTATTTCTCTTTCACCAATATGTCACACAGCACACTCAGTCCTGTTACTTTTCAGACAGACCTTGTATGATCAACAAGAAGCTAACAAACTCATATTGTAAGAAAAGGTTTTTCTCAATTCTACTCTTTGTTTGTAGAAAAGATAATTGATGTTCCTGCTGGACATTTTCCATTAATTTGTTAAAGGCCAATAATATATAACAAAATAAATATTTGCTAATTCAGTATAACATCAAATAAAACTTGATTTTGTTTTAATAAAATGTTACAATGGATTAATATATCCAGATATAGAATATAATGTTTGTAAGTTAACATGACAAAACTAAAATTATAAAAAAAAAACTCCCTTGGGCTGTCATTGCCTGGTAAGCAGTGTCTTTGTTATGACAACTGTGGACTGTTCCAAGATATTTCAGGTGAAAAGATTGATTTCAAGAAAGAGTCAGGTAGAGCCATAATAATTGGAAAGATATATTTAATGACCCATATGTGAAAACCTAATAATAATAAGAAGAACATCAAAAAATAAGCCATTACCTTTTAACAGCATGTGAAAGTAGTGCTAATGTAAGATTCTACCGGGCATAAAGTGGGGGATCGTTTTTGTATTGTTATTAAGTTATAAACTGATCACCCCTGAAATACCATATATTAATATAGTTAAAAACATATTTAAGGATTCATAAGTGAAACCCTAATAATAGTATGGACTTAACAAAATAGGCTGTCATTTTCATGGCTTTGTTGTATTGGTAAAAAGGAACTGGACACAAATTGGGGGATCGTTTTCTATTGTTATTATGTTATACACTGATCACCCCACAATTACTTCATATTAATTGGAAAACATGTTTAAGGATTCACAAGTAAAAACCTAATAACACTAAGAAGTTAATTATTTCAAATCTACTGCCATTTTGGTCAAAATAACGTGACGACATCAAACTTATACCTTCTCGTCCTGAAGTGAACGCCTACATTATTAATTCTTATAATATTGATGAAAACTTCCTTGAGAATTGGATGTTCTGGTTTTTCTCTTCTTAAATTAATTTAAAGTATTTTGTAAATTATTCATTTTAATTATTCAATTTCCATTCACAAATATTACTAATTACAAATACATGTTTGGAACTGGCCTTTTTCTGAATATTTTTTTCATTTCTTTTAAAATTTAAGTGCAATCCATCCAAATTTATCTATAATATTCCAAGGTTCAAGGTGGTATTGGAAGCTTTCTGTATGTGTTTTAAATGTATTGCTGAATGGAAATGGACATGCATCTAACTCTCACTGGTCATCATCCAGCCAAGTTGCACAAAGCCTCTTGTTCATTTATTGCGGTGAGTTTTTGTAATGTTGTATTGGAATGGTTCTGCAATATTTACGATGACTGAGTAATTCAGGCAACGTGACTGCATCACATTTTGTGCTGCTACAAAAACTCAAAATAATTCATCTGGCTTTTGGCAAATATTCTTAAGGTCTACCCCAGGATTTGGAGTAGCACCCACATTTCAAGGCCAGTCAAGAATTGATTCAAGATGACTGCTCAGAACAACTAACCATCAGTTAAATCCAAAAATGTAAAAAAATAATTTGTGAAAATATTTGACATTCTTTTTATGTTTTTAGTTGTATTTTTTCAGTAGTACAAAGCTTATAAGGATGACAAACCTAAGATTAGTCCAGAAATTAAGCATATTTTAAGTATAAAGCATGGTTCAGATTTTTTAAGGTAACTTTATTAAGTATTCAATCAGATTACATATGGTGTGCCTTAAGCAAGATAGCCTGTCAGAGCTCAACCCTCTCCAGGCTAATTTTGAATTAAAACGTTTTCCTTCTAGTCTAGTTACCAATCAAGGCTATAGGACTCAGTCCATTCTGTTATTTATCCATAGCTAGGGGGAGAAGAGAGGAATTCATACCTTTTCCAAGGTTATTAGCACATAAATGAATGTAATGAAAACAAAGGGAATTTGAACTGTTATCTGATTCCTCAATCTGGGCTACTATCCATTATTCAACTGTTTTTCCATTAAGTATAAATAAATGGAATTTCAAACTAATTAGGGTTATATTTTAAGCATTAAATAATTTGAGAATTTGCTAAATCTGACCAGGTTTAGCTAAAATTACCTGATGCCTAAAAGAAAAACAAAAATACAACAACAATGTGTTTACTGGAACAACAGTTTTCATTTGTTCAGAAGTTTCCAAATATCATGTCAATAGTTTCAGAAATCTGATGATCATTTTAATTATTCAGTTTCCATTCATAGACATCATTACTAATTACAAATACATGTTTGGAACTGGCCTTTTTCTGAATATTTTTTTTATTTCTTACTTTTAAAATTTAAGTGCAATCTGTCCAAATGTATCTATAATATTCCAAGCTTCGAGGTGGGATTGGAAGCTTTCTGTACTGTACTGTGTTTTAAGTGTATTGTTGGCCAAAATATTTTCTTATTTATCAAAATCATTTTCCCTGTAATAACGTTTTTTTTATTTGTTAATTTTTATATCAATTGTATCATTTTACACAATGTATTTACATCTTGGTCACATTAAATATACTAATAATATGTGTGTGTGTTTTGCCAACTGCACAATGTGTTATTAGTAGTAACTCTGAAAATTTCACTGCTTTCCTATTTGAATTTTGTTTCCCCCCCCCCTCTGAAATCAAACAGTGTCTCTGATAAGTCTTGTTTTTCCTTGTTATAAAAAAATGGAACAGTCCATTTCCAGGTATTGGCAGGGCACTTCTTCATTTCTTTTTCTAACTGAAACCAAGTAATGTCTGCTATATTTTCTCCATCTTTTCATGCGATCAAAACAGAATAGTCCATTATTTAAGTAGTATTGGTAGGATGTAATGTACATATGTGCTAAGGAAGGGACAAGTAGAATTATATTTAAATATTTTTTAATTTAAAAATAAACTTCCAAAGCTATCATCATTCAGAATTTTAACTAAATGAGGGAGTGGGTGCTGATAAAATATTGTTTCGTGGTGAAGAGGATGGAAAAATTGAAAGAAGACATGATTGAAGATTTCAATTAAAACAAAAAAAAAAAAAAAAAAAAAAACATATGTAATCTGCTTTTAGGCTATAAATTTGAAAAAATAGAAAAGTCAATAAGGGTGCAGAGAGATCCCATTATTCAAGTAAGGGGAACAGATAAACATTTTTACTATCTTTTCTTGTATTTTAAATTGGGAAATATTATCTTAGGATGAACAAAAAACAAAACAAAAACAAAACAAAGGCCACTAGAAAAAACTGGGAGGAAAATAAGCTTTTTCATAAAATATTTGTAACCTGTAGAAATTCTATCACATTGTTAAATATTTGAACTTTAACAAAATATTGCAATAAAAATGATGATTATGAATGCAGGTGATTATTTAAAGAAGTAAGGGGGTACAAATGAAAAGATCTGAAATTGACAACTTTTTCCATTTCACTGAAACAGACATTAAACACTTCTATCTTCACGTCTTTCTGTTATTTTCTCACTGAAACTAAGTAGCATTTCCAATGTCTTTTGCCCTCTTTCCATGCAATCAAAATAGATTAGCCCATTATTTATGAGTTATTAGCAAGAGACATTAAACACTATCTTTCTTTTTTTTGTCACTGAAACCAAGTAGTGCCACTGACATGTCTTTCCATGAGATCAAAATTGAATAATCCATTATTAATGAGGTATTAGCAGGGTGTAATGGTCGTGTGAACTAAAGAAGGGAGGAACAAATACAATTATTATTATATGATGCTTAGTCAGGCACTAGTAAACAAACTCACTACAAGAGTAAATTGAGAGACAAGTTGTTAACCATTGCTCCATGCTGAGGTAACCAAGAATGAACGGAAATTCTGTTCAGCATATTATCTTTGTATTTACTCTTGACATTGTAATTAAATTTGTTTTTAGGTTTTTTCAGTTCTGTCAACATTGACAATAAGAATGTGTGAGAAATGAAGAAAATTTAAACAAGTTAAACTATAATCTATTGATAAAACTTGCACAGTTTTTGTTTTTGGCAAGCAACTGTTATTTCCTATTTGCTTACACTTAGAAAGTGTGAAATAATATTTCGAAACTTTGCTTTTGTGATCAGGATAACGCAATTTCTGAAAGTTATTTATTTCATTTAGGAAAACTGACTAAAGAAATGTTCAAA